GCCGAGGTCCACAGCAGGCTGGCCCAGAACCTGACCCGGAGATGCTCATTGTCTGCCCAGCATAGAGCCCAGGCCTCCAGCCACCCCAGCGCCTGTCTCCTTCCTCCCCCTTCCCCTGCGACCTTGTTCCAGCCTCTCTCAGCCACATAATGGCACAGCTTCTCATCGGAGCATAGCTCTTCACAGTTTACAAAGAAGCTTTCACTCGTCCCATCTGCTTCTCTCCAACCCGGACTAGGAGGCCTGACCCCTTCGTTTTATGGATCAGAACTGGGGATTGAGGTTGGGGATGTTTTCCAAGATCTCGAGTTGGGCTAGGTAGACTGCTAAGCTGTCCCATCCCTGCGGGGGTGCAGACCCTGTGGGCCCCACACTGCCCTCCACCGGGGTAGGCAGCCCAGATTCGGTGCTGCCTGCCCACATCCCACGCCCGGGGGCCAGCTCGTGTGGTGGGCCCAGTGGGCCTCGGTCCTGCCAGCCTGGGCTCCCCCAGCTGGCGGGCAGGTCCCTTCCCTGCTGAGCCTGATGCCTCACAATCTGTAAAATAGGCATAATAGTCACCTACCTTCCAGGGCTTTGTGGGGATTAGAAATAATTCCTATAGCATCCCAGCAGAGGGCTTGGCACACAGTAGGTGCTCAGTAAATTGCTTTTCCCTTGGGGACGGATGGGGCACCCTTGGTGGGGAATGAGCAGCAGGAAGCCCAGGGAGTTTGCCCAGGACGAACAACACCTGGACTAAATACTGCTCCTCTCCCCTCCCCACTTCTTGAACCCCGTTGTCCTCCATCTTCCTGACCCCCCTCCGTGACCTCCCGCCTCTTCTCCTCTGCCCTGTCCCAGGGAGCTGTGCCTGGATGAGCCGCCCCGCTCTTGCTGGAGCTCCCTGTGCGGCTACCCCCAGCTGGTGACCCAGGTGCATGTCCTGGGGGCGGCTGGTCTCAAGGACTCCCCGACAGGTGCGCTGGCTCGAGGAAAGCCCCCCACCCTCCTCCCCTGGGAGGTTGCCCAGGTCTCCTCCCCTCCCCTGCTGAAGACGCCCAGCCTCCAGAGCTCCCCTGCCCTTGATCACTGAATGAGCAAACGTTTCCTGACGTCCGCTCAGGCCCAGCCCCGGGAGGAAGCTGGGTGCATAGAGAGGGACACTCAGCCTCCTACTCTTGGGAGGCCTCTGGTGAGGGGGGCACCAGGGCTCGGGGACAGGCTGCTGGGAGGGAGGGCTTCCTGAAGGGAGTGGCCTTTCTCCAGGCTGAGGAGGTGTTAAGGTGCGAATCCTGGTGAAATGGACTAGGGCGGAAGGATGCTCTGGACAGAACAACATGGGTAAAGGCCTAGAGGCCAGAGATGACCGGTGTGTCCCCTCCTGGTCTGCCTCCTCTTGAATACATGAGCCCAGGCTTCTGCTCTGGGGAGAGGACCTCACCCCCTGATATCTGTTCCATCCAGGCCCTGCCCCAGCCCCCCATCCTCACCCCATCACCCCCTCCATCTCTCTAGGGGCCAACTCTTATGTGATCATCAAGTGTGAGGGGCACAAAGTCCACTCAGCCATGCAGAAGGGTACCTCGACGCCTGAGTACGATGTAAAAGGCATCTTCTACCGCAAAAAGCCAGGCCAGCCCATCACTGTCCAGGTGAGCCCGCGGGTCCTGGGGCCCCTCCTGTGCCCCTAGCCTGACACTTCCCCGTTCAGAGGGGCTGAGCCCAGGGTGGCAGAGCCTTTGACGGGACCCGGGAATGCTCGGTGCTGGTTCCCACTCTGTCCTCGGCACAGTGTGGCCTTGGGAATTCTCTCGCCTGCCCCTCCTGGTGCCCCAGAGTCCCCTCAGCGGGGTGGGGAGTTAGCTCAGCTGCTGTGATTCTGAGCCCCAGCAGGGTCTGGCCAGGGGCAGTGGTCATCTCTGCCGACTTCGCCCCAAAGCCTTGGGAGTGGTTCCTTAAACCCCCTGCAGGGGGCCCACCTGGAAACGTGGCACTGAAGTGGCGCATGGCAGGTCAGATGCAGGGGTCAGAGAGCCAGTCCCTGTGCCTGGGCTTCCTTGTCCTCCCAGGCCAACGTGGCCAGTGGATGACCATTCTGAGCCCATTAGCAGGAAGCCCTCTGTCCCCCGGGCTCAGGCCAGCATCTCTGTGGTGAGAAACCATCTGTAAAAATGAACACTAGGCACCCCCTGTAGGGGAGGCACTGCAGGTTTTCCGAATTCCTAACCCCGATCCAACACAGACCTAGAGATATTGGGGCAAGAAGGACTGTAGGGGCCACTCATTTTGTATATCTCTGTGGTGAGAAACCATCTGTAAAAATGAACACTTAGGCACCCCCTGCAGGGGAGGCACTGCAGGTTTTCTGAATGTTCCTAACCCCGATCCAACACAGACTTAGAGATGTTGGGGTAAGAAGGACCGTAGGGGCCACTCATTTTGTATATATATTTTTTATTGATGTTTACAGAGATGAAGGGAGAGGGATAGAGAGTTAGAAACATCGATGAGAGAGAAACATCGATCAGCTGCCTCCTGCACACCCCCTACTGGGGATGTGCCCGCAACCAAGGTACATGCCCTTGACTGGAATCGAACCTGGGACCCTTGAGTCCACAGGCCGATGCTCTGTCCACTGAGCCAAACCATTTAGGGCGGGGCCACTCATTTTAAAGATGGGGCCAACAGGCAGGGTGTGAGTATATCACTCTTCAAGGTCACCCAGTCTCCAAGGTCACACAGAGCAGAGCTAATAGTAACACACTTAACATTATATGTAGAAGGGGCTTGGACAGAGGAGGAAGCCGAGGCTCTGGAAAGGGCAGGCTTCATGGGGAGGCAGAGGCAATGAAGGGCGGGATCGAGGCCCTGCCAGAACTGCCAGCAGCCCCCACAGACCTATCCGTGGAGATGGCCCCCATGTCCCTCTGTCTCCCCCAGATCTGGAACCACCGAGTCCTGAAGGATGAGTTCCTGGGCCAGGTGCAGCTGAAGGCTGACCCCGATGACCTCCAGGCCCTGCACACCCTCCACCTCCGGGACCGAGACAGCCGGCAGCCCAGCGACCTGCCGGGCACCATTGCCGTGCGCATCCTCAGCAGCGCCACCCTCACGGCTGTCTGATGCCCGTCCGCCTACCTGGCCCCCACAATTCTCACCACCGTCTGCATGTCCCCTGCCAGGGATTAGCCTGGGAGCTAGGACACCGGGGTCCTTTTCCCAACTTTTCCACTGACTCGCTGTGTGACCGTGGGGGTCTCTGGCCCTCTCTGGGCCTCAGTGTCCTGAGGACCCCACAGCATTCCTTTCTCACGGAGAAGTCTTCTTGCCTGAGATTTAAATAGCCCGCCCTTCCCCAGCTGTTCCCAAGGCTAAGGGACTCTATCCGTTGAGAATGTTTCCCCAAGGCCCCGCTGTCAGCCCACGGAGTGCCAAGATGCCACTTGTTTACACACAAACTGCCATACCCCCGAGCCCCACTCTTGCCCCTCCTTTCCTGCAACGGCCCCCGTGCCCCGGACATCGCTTTCTCTGTCACCAAAACTTGACTTTCTGGCCACCTTGAAAGGGCTCGTGGCCTCTGCTGGGATCCTGCTCTGGCTGGAATTTGGGAACATGCAGGTGACATCTGTTCATTCTCGAATTCCATCCACCTGCCCATCCCTTCATTTCTTCAAGAGATTTGCCAAGTGAGTAAGCGACCCCATGAGACCCCAGGGGGAGCTGGGCCCCTGCCCACAGCTCTGGGAGACCTGGCGTCCATGCTGGGCCGCAGCTCTGCTCCGAGGTCCTCTCTGGCAAGTGGTTGGATGCCCAGAGAGCTGCGGCTACCGTCTCACCCCGTGTTGATTTCCTCCCCAGCCTCTGGTTTAAGGCCCCCCCCCCCCCCCCACAGAGGTTTTGTCAGCCATGGAAAGGAAGAGCATCTTCCTGTCTCCACGGCCCTGGTCCCAGAAGGCGTGTGCCCAGTTTGGTGGCCAGGGCCAGGCGGGTAGGGAGGACATGTGGACGCAAGTTGGGGGGGGCATATTCTCAGGACCCCCTTTGCTGCAAGCACTGGGATTTCCTGGGAGAAGGGGCTCTGGGTTGTTGGCATCAGGGCTTGGCAGGAGAGAGGGAAACCCATCACCAGACCAGAGGCTCTCCGCCAACATTCCCCCCAAATGCAGCCAGGGAGGCCACAGCCCTCTTCTTGCTGCCCGGACCAAAATGTTCCTTTCAGTCCTCAACATTTTATATTCTTTCTGTTTTAAAACTCTCAGTTTTAACCAGGGGTTTTAAAAGCCTGTGCACCCCTTTTCTCTTCTTCAACTCCAGTTCTTGTGGTCCTCTGGTTTTATTTTTATATGTTTTTATTGATTTTTGTGTTTGTTTTTTTAGATAGAGAGGAAGGGAGAGGGATAGAGGGATAGAAACATCGATGAGAGAGAAACATCATCGATCGGCTGCCTCCTGCACGCCCCCTACTGGGGGGATCAAGCCCGCAAACTGGGCATGTGTCCTGACTAGGAATTGAACCAGTGACCTCTTGGTTCCTGGGCTGACGCTCGACCGCTGAGCCACACCGGCTCGGCCGATTTTATTTTGATTCCACTTGGGGAGGGATGAGGAGAAGCCATACTTTCTCAGAAGGGGTCTGGAGGTGGATGAAGAAGAGGGTGTTTGTACTCTGATGTTTTGCAAGTCGGCACCAATCGTGTGGGCGCTGTGACCCGAGTAGGGTCTCTCTGCAACCCTTCTCGGGCGCCAGACCAGGCAACGTAAATGAAAACGTTCAGCTGTTCCAGAACAGGAGTTCCTGTGGGCTTGCTGGCTGGGAAGTCCTTTGGAAGCCTGGATTTCCGGCTCCGTGTCCTGGCCCTTTGGTCCAGTGTCCTGGCTGGAGGCGCTGGATCCTTGACTTTGCCTCCTCACCCTGTGGCCAGCTCTGCTCCTGCGTCGGGGCCCTGGGCCACGTGAGGGCCAGGAACTGCACAACAAGGAGGACAAGACTCCTGGGCAAGCGGCGGCTTCCTCTCGAGAGCCTGGCCCGGGGCCAGGACCCTCCCGATGACCAGGAGCAAACCATTCACCCTCCTGTGCCTCGATTGCCCCTCTGCCACGCGGGGCCACTGACTCCTGTTTGCCAGCACTCTCGCTAACAAGTGCTGGATAAGGGCAACACCATTCTCTGTGTATCTGTATGCGTGCACACTGTACACTCCTGTAATCACTTCTCAATGTCTATTTCCAATGAACACTCCTGAGGCAGGGTGGAGAAGCAAGGGCCGGAGGAGCCCACGTGGGTCTGTTCTCAGCTACATCCACCTGGGCCCTGGGTCGAACCAGGACCAACTGGCAGGCCTGTGGGCTCCAGCCCTGCCCTTGCTTTCTGCTCCTCGGGGTGGGCCAGGCTGGATCCTGGATGTGTGGAGGACCCTGGTTGGGGATGGGGCAGGTGAGGTTGGAGTTCAGGGCTGGGCCTGGAGGGTGGGTGGGGAGAACCGTTGCTCCATGCGCCTGATGCACCCTCAGTCCACAGGGGCCTGTGCTTTTGCAGATGGGCCAGGCCTCGGGTCCACACCACCCCATCCAGGCTTCACTCCCCTCAGGGCCCACCGTGGGCCAGGGAGACCTGTTCTGTTCTCATAATAAACGTTACCACAATCTCAGAAAGACCGTCCTGTGTCCGTCTGTCCCTCTGGTGGTTAGGGATAATGGAGAGAATATTTATCAGGCCCTGGTGCCTGTCCTCTGGTCAGAGACAACATGAGGGAGGACCTGGGCATTCTAGCCGAGGCTGGACCCCGCTGCCTGTCCGTTGCATCTCTGAGCTGAGGTCACTGGGGTCATTCAGTTATTCCCTCAGCTGGTCTTGTCCCAAGGCACTAGGGATGCAGGGGACCAGCCACAGCCCCTGCTCTAGTGGGAAGACCAATAGAGACACTCTCATCTGGACCAACATCCCACAGAGAATTCCCGGTAAGGTGGTGTGGGAGTTGTGGGGGGAAGGAAGGTTAGTTCTGCTCCAATTGTGAGATGGAAGGAGCAGCCGCATAAAGGGCCTCAGACAGAGGAGATGGGCTTATGGGGGTGCAGGTGGATGTGGGCAGACCAGAGCGAGCAGCTTGAGCCAAGAAGCCAGGGGTGGTGGTGGTGGGGAGAAACAGGACAGATTGTGGAGGCAGAGTGGACAGAACTCAGTCCACTGGGCTGGGTTGGGGTGAAGAGCGAGAAACAAATGCATTAAGGCCAATTCCTAGATTTCCCCCATGGGCCATGGAGAAAAGGACATTATGAATTTTGTGCCCACCTCAGCACAGCCTGGCGCTTAGAGGGTGCTGAATGCATTGAGGCTGTTGCAGCATCTGGAGATCACCCCTCCCCAGCTCCCCACCGCGCCTCGCCCACCCCTCACAGCTCGCACCGTGTGCCTTAGGGGCCCAGTTTTCCCATCTGTGCAGGGCTGACGCTCTTGCCTGCCCAGCCTGGCTCAGGGGGGAGGTGATGGAGGCGTGGTAGGTCCCGAGTCTAGGAGTGGGGACCGTGTTCCAGAGCAGTTCCTGCGAGGGCCGCCTGGCCAGGCACACTCAGCACCCCGGGGCCTTCGGGGGCCAGGACTGGGGTCAGAGGAAGTCCTGGCCTCTGCAGCGGCTGAGTCCCCGTCACTTCTCCAGGCAGAGCTGGATGCTCAGCCTGGCTCCCCAGGGGCGCCATGGGCAGCCACGCCTGTGCCAGCAGGTGGCGCACTTGGACCACTGGATCCTGGTGGATGGGCACCCCAGCTTTGGAATGGTCCCGGCCTGCCCCAGGTACAGCGGTTGGGCATCCAAAGAGCCCTGCCTCTGCCCAGGCCGAGAGCTGCCCCTGAAGAGGCCGCACTGAGGGGGCAGCTGTTGGGTGGCTCCAGGCCAAGGGTGATGGCGAGGAAGTGCCAGGACTCAGCCGGGGTCCCTGTTACTGTCTTTCCAGTGCTAACAATGAACACTGGGCTCCTCCTTGCTTATCTGTGCCCCCTTTCCCTCCTCCGTCCCCCCACTTTAAAATCACATGGTTCACCTTGCTCTGCATGTGCCCGGCTCATGCTGGGCTGAGAAAGTTTCCTCCGTAATCACAGACAACCTCCTGCCTCTCCTCCCAGCAGCTGTGGGGCGTGGTGAGGTGAGGAGCTTTGGGGGGACACATCTGAGGGGAGCCCTCAGGGAGGGGCCTGTGTGCACAGGGATGAGGGAGAAAGGGCTAGAACATGGGGTTTGCATTCATTTCCTCTCAGAGTCTCAAACAGCCACTTATGGAGGAGAAAACAGGCTTGGCGGAGGGAGGCAGGGCCAGGACTCAGCAAATCCTGCCCGTGCTGAGGGAGCAGGTGTTGTTACTGCGAATGATAGGTGGCACCTGAGGCCGGATGAGTGGTCATAGCCCGGGTCCAAGCTGGTCCCAGCACAGCGAGAGACACCCCTTGCCCTGCCTCCCTCTGGGAAGCCAGCGCTCCGCTCAGGGCCCTGGGCGGCACAGCCCGCCCCCCACGCTGATGTCATGGCACCCAGGCCTCCAGGCCCCTCGGACTCCGCCTCCTGGGGGAAGGCTCTGGAGAGGGGAGGAGAGGGCAGCAGTGCGGCTGGACAGCCGACCTGGGCAGGAAAGAGAGGGAGAGGCTGAGAGGGAGAGGGAGTCACATAGTGAAAAACCGAAAGGCCAAGAGAGGCCCCTAGAGCAAGTTTTGGAGCAAGACAGAGGAAGAGGGGACGTGTCTACAGATTGTGCCAGACCTTTGACCCCAGCTTCCCGGGCCCTCTGTGCGGGTGGCAGCTGGGAGCCAGGTAAGCAAGGGCTGCCCCTGTCCTGGGCATCGGGAGGAGGGTTTGCTGGACTTCGGAGGGTGTCCTGGGCTTGGACCACCCTGGAGCCCCTGTGACCACAGCCATTTGCTCCCGGTCTGGGCCTCCTGCCACCTTTGGGGGCTCAGCCACAGCAGCCATTGAATGAAACTGCCCCGAGCCTGGCGAGATGGAGGCTGGGACCCTGGAATGGGAAGAGCCAGGGCCATGGTGCTCATTGAATTGTCTCTGACCAGGGCTGGGGCAGGGAGCAGCCATGCTGGGGGTGGGGGAGAGAGAGAGAGAGAGAGAGAGAGAGAGAGAGAGAGAGAGCTCTGTCCCGATCTCTGTCTCCTTTGGCCTTTCTGCTACATTTTATCTCTTTCTTTATCTCTCTCCTCAGGTAAGTCACTTCCTTCCTCTGAGCTTCAGAGTTCCCATCTGTGAAATGGGACCATGAAGCCACCAGTCAGGGTTGCTGTGAGGATGAAGTAACCCAGGGATGGCATAGAAATAGTTCTGTGTTCCCTGCTCTCAATCTGCAAAGCAATTACCTTGAACATGGACTAGTTCTTTTTTTTAGAAAAAAAAAAAAGTTGATCTTATAAATTTTCCTTATGGGTGGCCCTTAACTTCTATGCCCTCATCCAAGGCCCTGAGTCTTAATGAAAACCTTGGTTCTGCCCCCGGCTCTCGGGCTTATGCTGGCTCAGGGTGCTAGCACACAGCCAGGCTTCCTCTTCAGACTAACCCCCGTGGCGGCTGCCTGGTGGCCTTGCTGAATTCCCTTCCCTAGTGCCCGTCTCCGGGAGGACTGTGTGCCCGCTGTGTCCCAGAGCTCCAGGCAGGGGTCAGGGCTCAGGTGTCAGGAGTGTCATGGGCAGAGGATCAAATGCCCCAGTGCCTCTGAATGGGCCTTGTGAAAAATTGATGCTCATCCTGGGGGCAGGTGGGGGGCTGGGGGGCCGCGTGCCAGGGCTGTGGGCTGGGGCTGCCTTGAATCACCACACTCAGTCCCACAAGTCCTTCCTGAGTCCTCTCCGGGCCTGGCCCTGTGCTGTGTGAGGAGATGGCTGAACCCATGCCCTGCCCTGGATCAACTCTCTGACTTTGGGGTCAGAGGTAGGGACAGACCCCAACCAGATAACATAATACATATAATCAGGGATGGACAGAGGGAAATATCAGGACTCTCCGCAGCCTGGGGGTGGTCAGGGAAGGCTTCCCAGAGGAGGTAACATCTGAACTGAGCAAAGGAATTTACTAGTCAGAATTCCAGGTGGAGGAGCCAGTGTATGCCAAGGCCAGGAGGTATGGACAGGGCTGCTGCATTTCAGGAATAGTGAGTGCTGAGGAGGGTCCCAGTGCAGGGCTGAGGAAGGAAGAAAACTGATGACTGAGACATCAGCAGGAGCCACATGGTGCTGGGCCTTAAAAGCCAGACTGGGGTCATGGAGCCTCCATCCTGATGGCAGTGGGTGCTCTGGTTGGATTTAGGCAGCTCAGCCCATGACCCTCCCCTTGGGCCAGGCTGCCCCTGTCACTCACACTCTGGGGGCAGCCCTCAGCTGGGAGGCCTGAGACCAAGTCCTCATCCTGGACTTGCCCTGTCCAGCTGTGTGAACTTAGGCAAGTCTTGGTCCCTCTCTGGGCCCCTTTGCCCATATGTCCAGGTGAGGGGTGCAGACTTGCTACTTTCTAGGAGCCTTTTGGAATCTCTGAATAACAGCAGCTGCTCTGGACAATAGAGCTGTGATGGTGGCTGAGGCTCAGGTCACACAGCCTGGGCTGCAACGAGAGGGAGAGAGCCAGGGAGGGTTCCCCAGAGGCAGGAGGGGCTGTGGCGTTGGGAGGAGCCCAGGTGACCCCTGCCAGGTGCAAGACTGACACGGCTGGCTGCTCAGAAGTTTGACATGATCTCTCCCTGCAGAACTGTGTCTGGCCAGGTGGGCAGCAGGCACCTCTGACAAAGGACAATGGTGATTCTTCAGCAGGTGAGTGCTCTCTGCACCTCATTGGCCTTCATCCTTCTGTGCCAGGAATAACCCTGTTGGGTGGCTCATCTTACCCCATCCCATATTCTCTCGTGCATATGCTTAACGGTGGCACACCCTTCCCAATCCTTGCTTTCAGAAAACTCCTATCTATGCTTCAAAACCCAGCTGTGAAACTTTCCCTGCCTGTTGGGCCCAGTCTAGAATCACTCCCTCTGATTTGTCTTTTGGGACTTCCCTTTCTCACTGGGTAGAAGTTATTTATTTACATGCATCTCTGAATCGCCAGACATTCCAGGCAGTGGAACAGCATGTGCAAAGGTCCAATATGGGAAAGCCCTTGGGGCAAGGGAAGAGGAACTTAGCAAGTTTATGAATGCCAGACTAGGAAGGACCTTGACCCTGACTGGGAGCTGTGAGTTGAGGATGCCATGGCCCGAGCTGGAGCCCCCGCGGGTAATATGGGGAAGAAGCAGAGGTGCTGTCTCCTCTCTGGCTGAGTCCTTCCACCCTGCTTCCTTCCCAGGGCTCCAGTGGCCCCTGACCCCTAGCTCTTCCCGTGATCGGCCTGAGGCTCTAATGAGCTCCTGGTCTCCAGAGCCAGGAATGTGGGCCCTGAGCCAGGTGGGCCTGGCCCCAGGCCTTAGGGCTGGTGGCGGGCTGTCCTCTGGGACCATCAGAGGCCAGCGGGCAGCCTGTTCTGAGGCTGTGTGCTTTTGTGTGAGCTTGTGGGCTGGGTGTGTGAGAAGCAGGCATCAGGGCAGAACCAGGAGAGACAGTCTTGTGTCCTGGGACTGAAGACCCGCTCTGAAGCCCCTTGGTCCCCTGGCCTGAGAGTCTGTTCACAGGCCCATCAGGGACAGCCAGGACCAATGAAAGAAGGAAAGTCGCTGTCTCTGAGCATTTGCTGTGTGCCAGGGCCCGTGCTACAGCTGGGGCTGGGTGGGTAGGGGCACACGCAGCCCCCAGAGGGAGAGTTTGGGCCACCCACAGCCCTCCAAGGGTGTTTGCCCTCTGGGAGCCTCTGAGGCAGACCTCTGGCTGACTGTCCCCTCCGAGCACTGGCCCACCTCACCAACGCCGGCTTTGCCCACCCCTCACACAGCAAGACAGAAAGTACATTTCTGATACTTATTTGGTCCTAGAAATGGTCCCAACTCTGAGGAGCCGGCCAGCTACACAGACAGTGCCACAGGCAGAGCCCACACACCCGGGCTCTGTCTTGGGCGGATTTCAGGCGTGTTCTTCAGCCTTCCTGAACCTCAGTTTCCCCATCTGCAAAACAAGGACAAAACCCTCCTTTCCTGGGATGGTTGTTGGGAAGATAACATGCCTGAGGGATTCAATCAAAGCGCTGCTTCCTTCACCGGCCTCTGTGTCCCCTTTTCCTGGCTGACTCCCCTCAGCCCTTCCCGTGGTCATGACTCCCTTTGGTAGTCCTGTCACTCCACCTTCTTCCCCTGCTCATGGGGTGGGGGTGGTGAGGGCTCCTGCTCCCCACTGTCTCCTCAGCCCGGCCCGGCCACTCACAGATGGAGCTCTGTGCTGAATGAATGAATGTCACTACACCCTCACTTGGTCCGAGGGGCTAGGGCAGACAATGGAACCTACTTTAAAGGGATGTTGAGAGTGAAATGACATAGTGCACACACACCGCTCCACCCGATGCTAGACAGCTCATGAAAGGTTAGCTGCGTGACGACTGCCAATAAAACCACACTGGTAGTGTTCCTGTGCGTGAGGATTCTCCATCTTTTCTCTCTCTCACACTTTATTTAGGAGAAAAATCTCAGGAAACCTCAAAGGAGACGATGCTTCTCTCCCAGGTGTAGAGTGTCCCCATGTGGAGACACTCCGTTGCAGAGATCCACACACCTTTCTGAACCCCACAGGGTACCAGGCACAGGAGACGCTTCCATAATCCAAAACATGAACGATTCTTTTCACTCGTTGAGAGTTCTAATTCTTCAAAAGTAGCACCCACATTGGTCCATAGGCACTCTCTACATAGGATCTATTGTATTGCCATAGGGCTGTGAGGTAGGGAGCTGCATGCTTATCACAGGTGAAGAGACTGGTGCCCAGAGCAAGTATTTTAGACATAAACTGTGCAGGTCCACAAAGGCCAGGGAGCCATGATGGTGAGGGGGCAGCTATGCAGGGCACAGGGAGGTGACATAGGAGCAGGCACAGGAAGGGGGTCAGATGGCCCCTGCTAGGTGGCATCTTCAGAACATGGGCTCTTTCCTAGGGGCCCTGGGGCAGTCTGGGCAGACCTGTTGTGTTGACAGCTTCAGGCATGGGGTGGGGGTGCCTGGAGATTTCTATCGTGCCAAAAGCTACCTCCTCCAGCCAAGTTCTCACTCACCCACCCAGCAAAGTGGCACTAGGCCTCTTCTCTGTACCAGGCTGGGCACAAGGGATGCAGAGATAAACTGACTGTTCCCAGTCTTCGAGGAGTTACCAGACTGAAGTGGGAGAAGCACAGCAAGGATGCCTATGAGTGGAACTGTGATAGCAGGAGTCCCAGGGGGTGGAGTGGGTTGGGAGGGTGCCTGGGGGTGGGGGAGGCTTCTGCCCTTTCTGTGGTGGTGATGGGATGTCGGGGAAGGCTCTAAGGCTTTTGTGATAGTCCCTCAGATGCAGATAGGGGACTGAGGTGTCTGGAGGAGGGACTAGTCCCAGGTAGCAAGGTCAGCTGGTGCTTGCAAGAACCCAGAGATCCGTGGTGCACATGACCCCCTTCTTCAGGAACCTCAGTGAGGGCTGCTGTGCCTCAGTGGGATATGAGTTCTGGCTCCATGGTGGGCCAGCATAGGGACTGGATGTACTTTGCTTGCCATCCTGGGCAAAGGGGATTTTGAAGATAAATTTGTGGGCTGTTGATAACAGTTGGATTGACCCATTTATTAAAATACAATGTCCTTTGTCTCGTGTAACACTTTTGACTTAAAATACACTTGGCCTGATATTAGCATAGCCATCCCAGCTCTTCTTTGGTTATTATTTGCATAGAATATATTTTTTCTACCCTTTCACTTTCAGCACATTTGTATCTTTGGATGGAAAGTGAGTCTCTTGTAGATAGCATATAAATGGATCTTATTTTTAAACCTATTCTGCTAACCTCAACCTCTTGAGAGTTTAATTCATTTCCCATCTATTTCTGCCATTTTGCTGTTTTTAATAGGTCATATCATTTCCCCCTCAGTTCCTCTATTACTGCCTTCTTTTGTGTTTAATTGATCTCCCCCACACCAGTGTACTGTTTTGATTCTCTTCTCATTTCTTCTTCTGTATATATACACTTTTTTTTAGTGGTGACCTTAGGCTTTGCAAATAATGTCTTACATTTATAACAATCTAGTGGGACTTAACACCAACTTAGCTTCAATAGTATATAAAAACTTTGCTCCTATACAGCTCCATCCCTCTCTTTGTATTGTTATTATCAGAAATTACATCTCTGTGTGCCCATTAACATAGATTTGTAATTGTTGTTTTATGCATTTGTCTTTTAAATCCTATAGGAAAAAAATGGGGAAAAGATGATTTACAAACCAAAAATAACAATAATCTGGCTTATAATTACCTCTGTGGTTACTTTTACCAAGCTTCTTTATTTTTTGTGGCTTTGAATGACTGTCTAGTGCTCTTTAATTTTAGTTGACTACTTTTAGCATATCTTGTAAGGCAAGTCCACAAATGACAAACTCAGCTTTTGTTTGTCTGGAAATGTCTTAGTTTGTCTTTCATTTTTGAAGAATGATTTTGCCAGATATAGAATTCTTATTTGACAACTTACTAGTATTTTCCTTTCACTACTTTAAATATGTCACCCTACTGCCTTCTGGCTTTCATGGTTTCTGATGAGAAATTGGCTATTAATCATATTGAAGACAAGCCACTTCTCTCTCACTACTTTTAAGATTCTCTCTCTGTCTTCATAGTTTAATTATAATGAGTTTCAGTGTGGATCTTTTTAAGTTTATCCTACTTGGAATTTATTGAGCTTTTTGTATGTATAGATTCATATCTTTCATCAAGTTTGGGCAGTTTTGTGTCAGTATTTCTTCAAATATTCTTTCTGCCTCCCTCCCCCTCTCCTTTTGGGCTCCCATTATGCATGTGTTGGTCCATTTGATGGTGTCCAAAAGGTTTCTTAGTCTCTGCTCATTTCCCTTAATTTTTTTTCTTTCTGCACCTCAGACTGGATAATCTCAATTAACCTATCTTTAAGTTTTCTGATTCTTCATTTTGCCTCTTTATATCTGCTGTTGAACTCCTCTAGTTATTGTACTTTTCAATTCCAGAATTTCTACTTGGTCCCTTTTTATAATTTCTGTCTCTTTATTGACATCCTCTTTATGGTGAGATGTTGTTCTCCTTTCCTTCAATTCTTTGATCATATTTAAGACAGTTGATTAAAGTTTTTGCCTATTAAGTCCAAAGTCTGGGTGTCCTCAGCGAAAGTTTCTATTAAGTCCCCCCTTTTTTTCCCTGTGAATGGGGCATCCTTTCTCTGCATTCCGCTTAATTTTTTGTTGTAAACTGGACGTTTTGAATATCGTAATGTGATAACTCTGGAAGTTAGACTCTCCCCAGGGTTTGTTGTTGCTGCCTGTTGTGAGTTGTAGTTTTGTGTAGTGAGTTTTCTAAACTATTTTTGTGAAGACTGTATTCTTTGTTGTGTGTGGTCACTACAGTCTCTAGCACCCCTGGAGCCGAAACAAAACAAATCAAACCTCCTGGTCTTTGCAGACGGGCTCTCTGTGTGGGCTGGGGCATGCCTTCAATGCTCAGTCAACTCTGCCTTAGCCTTCACTGTCTGTCTGCGTAGAATGTGAAGCTCAGCTGGAGGCGAGCGCTTACGATCTTGATCTTCTTCTGAACATTGTCCAACCCTGGGCATGTATGTGGTTTTTTTAGATTCCCCAGTATATGCCAGAGTTTTTTAAAGCCTCTATTCCCTGAAGCAACTCACTCCCTGCTTTTCCTCC